TTTTTTTTTTTTACATAAAAATATATAAAACAACAGTGAAGATGTGTATGTTGCAATGTAACAACCTTCCTTTAGTATGACTCATACCACATCAAATACATCATATTCTTCATAATTATATAATCCAATTTATAATAACTTGTAGAAATAAACTATGAATCCTTATTATTTGTTTAATAATTGAGATATTTTAATTCAATGCATTCATATTCCTTGTTATTCAACTCTTATCTTTATTATTAGTGATACAAAGAATACAGCTGACAAGCAACACTGAATATCTCATTTATGTATTTAGACCAAACAATGTCCTTAAATTTGAGTTGAAGCTTTAAATATCAGGTTTAAATATCAGGGCACTGCTTGATTTTAGACTCTTGTTGATTCCAAATCTTAACTCCAAATATTGATAAACAAAAAAATGTCCTGCTTGTTCTCACTGTTCTAATCCCCTGACTGTTGACTGGAGAAATCCATGTAACTGACAGAAACAAAGGGCCCTAAAATCAAAATGGATGCTTGGTCCATCCTCTAATCTACCTTGTTTTTGCTAGAGATAACCCCCATGGCATGATGGTGCCATCAATGTCTTTGTTGTATTTATGCTGTTTTTGGTGAAGTTCTTTCCATTTTTAAATTAAACTGTACCCCTAGAGAAAAATCTTGGGTTATTATTTTAGTACCAGCCAACTATTTCTGTTACCTGTCAGCTGTGTTTGAGGAAATTTAAGATACTGCTTGTTTGCTCCCTGACGAAATCTCTGAGTACTTCACAGAAAAGCTGCATTTGTAAAATTAAAAGTAGATAAGCTTTTTTAAATGATTGGCTGGCTTCTGAAGGTAATTTATTTTATTATTGTTATTTTTTTTAACAATGTCCTGTCTGGCAATGTGGCAATAAGAATAATTGTCGTTATGCCAAAAAAGACCCCAACATATTTTTCTTTCACAAGCGGAGCAGTACGGCTATCGCCATAGTGCTCCGCTTGATTTATGCATATAAATAGCTTTATTATAATTCATGCAGGGAGTATTACAGATTTATTGGCATCGCAATGTAAATAGAACAGGAAAGGAAAAACCAAAAAAAGGAGAAAAGATGAAAGAAATAGGAGATAAAACGAAGATAATGATAAAACATCTTCAGCACAGCACAACCAACGGACATAGTATAACAGATAAAGAAAATAAAGTAAAACCTTGATACTACCGCTGAAGTATAAGTGGTATTATTTAATCTGACGTGTATACTGTGTACCTGAAGATAAGAATATTCACACTCTTAGCTTCTGAAGGTAATTGGTGACACCGGCTTTTACTCGGGGGGATCATAGCAAAAGGCGCCCGTCCCAAATCAGGTTAGTATTTGCATAAAAAAAAAACACACACAAACAAAAAAACCCCACATTTCAGTCACATTAAAATATTGCTTATTGTCCCACTAACACAAACTCAAAGTTTCAGCAGGTAAGAATATTTTTGTGTTCTAAAGGACAAAGTACCAATAGAAATTATACACTATGCTTGCCAAATGTTGAGGTGAAAAAAAAAACTGAGACAGGAAAAAGGGATGGAAGAAGTAGGCCAGTTCCTAACCAGAGTTATTACTGTGAAGATCCTCTCTTTATCTCTGCGGCAGAAGGGTTTTTCCTTAAAAAGAGAAGGAGAGACGATTGGAGCATACAGTGTAAGATGGAGTGATGTGGAGGAGTAGGGATGGGGGCTGGGGATGGGATTGGTGTTCTGGTCTCTCTTAAAGTAGTGACTCACAAAATAGGAATGACGTTCCCCCAAAACCAGTTTCTGCCTCTGTTTCCCTCTGTCTCAAACATTGCCCTTTCATTTCTTTTTTCATTTCATTCCTTTTTTTTTTTTTCATTTCCACATGGAGCAAAAGAGTTTTTAGCTCAGGGGGGATTTCTGCAGAACCAGCTCCAGAATAATAAACACCTTATTTCTCTGAATAAAGCCAGAACATCTTTTTTTAAGTTGAACTGGAAATTTGTAGAAGCTTCATTCGTCACGTAGAAAAATGCACACACACACACACACACACACATACACACATACACACATACATATATATGCATTTGTCTACATGAGATATGAAGCTTTTGTTATAGGAATAAGGAAAAAAAAGATCTAAAATCAACTCATTTAAACTGGAGGCAGAATTTCATCCAGCAGTGTTACACAGATTCAGTTCTTTGTGCATCTGTTAGTTTTGTATTTGGGTGATGTTTAATAGAGCAGAATGTTGAACCTGGATATCTACATTTAACAAAACATCGATATAGCTGAGTGAAACACAAGATTAGGTTAACACTGTGCCTCTTTTTTTGCTGCGTCTTTGTCCAGATGTGCTGTATTCTCACACAAGGCAGCTGGGAGTAGTTATGCTCAGTCCATCTCACACACAAACACACAACAGTCTACAGACACAATGTGCAAATTCAAATTAAACCCATGTGTTACACTTCAGTCATTACCAGTGAATTTCTCTGGAAAAGGTTGCCCTTGACTCTTAGAGTACTTTTTTTGCAGTCTAGTAGCCACATCACACAACTGAAGCTTTTTGGAAATTCGCTGGAAAGCTGCAGAAGAGCCAAAGGAAATTTACACAGAAAACCCTTACAGACTTAAAAACCAAGTTATGAGCATTCTGATTTATTGTTAATGCATGCTGTAAATCACATACAGAAAACAGGCAATGCTTGCGCTGACACACCCATGCAGATTTAACATATACACAGCCTCACAAATAAACTCAAAAGCAGGGACAGATCTGATAAGTGCCCTTTGGGCCCCGGCCATTTAGGAATAACATATGAAACAGGAAGCCATGAATTAAATTGTGCAGATACACAATGTTTGGAAAGGCGCACACTCAAATGCATTGCATTCCAAATAAAATACTGGCTCAAAAATCAGAATCAAAGAGAAACATGGGATCAGACGTGACTCTGTTGTAGTTCTGTAGAAATGCTTTTCCAGTGAATGCTTAATAAGGAACATGTGTCCTGCTGCGCAACAGAGAAGAAAATAATAAGATATATTGCAGAAACATGAGTTGAAATGGTAATCATTGACAGAAATTGTTATTATTTGACGAAGAGCTTTGATCTTTGTAGGATATTGCCTCCTGTCATCTCTGCAAAGAGTTGGAGAGCTCTGCTCCGATGTAACGTAAAGGCACCACAATGGGTCTTTGCGGACTTCAACAGGCAAATACGTTGGTTTAAATACAAAGAAAATCTATTTTTCTGGGGGAAAGGCATTATTAGGCTTTACTTCAAATTTAGTCTGATCTGAAATGGGTTAAGAGAGAGAGGGAAGACAATAAAGCAAAGGTCCAAGTGTCAGAAATAAAGGGCATAGCAGTCCAGGTAAGGACTAAGACCTCTGTACCCGAGTTGTGTGCCTAACCCTGCACTACTGGTTTGCTCTGACCGCAACATGTTAAACCTGTTGTCGTGACAAACTGCAGGTCAAAAACTGAGTTGAGAATTTGAACCTTGATTTTAAAATCTTAAATCATTTTGAAAATGTAACCATGAATCGCTTGTATTTTATATATCAACAAAATACAAGCAAATGTTGCTGCCACAAGCTTCTCCAGGAGGTGCGTGTCTTACAAGT